TATTATGTACACATAAATAAATTCTAATATTATAATATTTTTAATTAATTTATCAAGTAATTTACTGGTAGATAATGAATTAATAAATAAATTCTATTATAATATTTTTAATTAATTTATCAAGTATTTTAGTTAATGAATTATTAAATAAGCGATTAAAAAACGAAATTATTTTATACATTAAAAATTAACGTAGGTCTATTTTTCAAGCGTTTCAATAAGTAGATAAGTAGACCAAACCCAGTACCGTTACGATTTTTAATCGTACGGGAAATCCACTCACGATGCATTATAGGCCATTTGGCCGACATAGGACTCAGGTGCTAGACTGTGACCTTCAGGCATTCTCCCATTCAAAATCTATACCCTACCACTAACAAATATTTTCCTATTTCTTAAACCTAACTACTATACTATATTCAACCTTACTACTGTCTTATTTCTTACTGTTATATATTATGTACACATAAATAAATTCTAATATTATAATATTTTTATGTTGTTGATGTTGATGGATATGCGTACATCGATACACAACAGTGCGTAAAAATACAGAACAAAATTACACGCGTTATCTACACGCGCAAACTTTTCAAATAGACGGAAAAGAACGTTCATCATCATAGCATAACAAACAACAAAACCGCATACACGTACAGCGATGCACTAGACATGATTATGTTCATACGATCATAATGTACATTTATACGTACTTCCAGGTAAGACATTTGTTTTTAGTTTGTTTTCTAAACAATAATTATTCTTTATTTCATATAAAGAGATTTTGGAAATCACTTAAGGTCCGATTCGATTTCGAATTATGAAAAGTGTAGGCTGTGGCACCGAGACCTCTGATGATTAGTGCTCAAAATTGTTTACAAAAACGTAATGCAATAATAGTATATTGACTACTATTGTATATTTTTCAGAAATAATTTCAGCCGCTCCAAATCTCTTTCCTTTTCTTCCTTCTTCCTTTATTCTTTCAAAATTTTACGTTTAAATCATATTTTCCATAATGTTATACACTCACATGATATAGTCACTCGTTTAGACCTAGCCTAGGCTAGACCTCGGCTAGGCTTATGCCTACTATATTACTTAAAATATACAATTTTAATTGATAAGATTAATTTTACATGGATATATAACTAAACAATACATTAAGTTTAAATATAAATACTGTATAATGACATAACAAATAAATAACAATAATTTAAACGTGTACATAGTATCTATCACTACTACAATAATAAGATTAATATTTTTCAATCTTATAATCAATTTTATATAGCCGGAGTTAGTTTCGATCTGGGCAAAGCCTTTGCTAAAAGGTACACTTTCTCCATCAAAAGGCTTCTTCTATGAATGGAATGACCTGTTCGAAGCACGAACTCCTATAGACCAAACCCAGTACTGTTACGATTTTTAATCGTACGGGAAATCCACTCACAAGACAATCGTACGGGAAATCCACTCTCGACACATTTACTTCACATTCAAAATCTGTTTTTAACTCATATTTGGGTGACCTTTTATCCCTGAGGTCAGATGATATTCAGGGGCCCTCTTAAATACTGTATATGAAATAATGTGATGCAAGACATAGAGAGGGAAAATATTTTGAGTCATGAGACCCAGAACCCAGGAATCTGAAGGCAAAGCATTGTCACCACCAAGCACACCTCCACTACAATCTTAATCTTAAGCTCTGATCACACATCAGCAATGGCGGCTCTAGAAATGACACTTTCAGACTGTGACAGACATCTGTTGGCTTGGTGTGGGCTATTTTTATATTTCTTTTTAGTTCAACTGCTTCGAACAGGTCCATATATAGTCATGATGTGCCCATATATAGTCATGATGGGCCCATATATATAGTCATGATGTGCCCATATATAGTCATGATGTGCCTATATATAGTAGATGTGTATGTGGACACAGCTTTAAGCTCTGTTCACACTGTCAGGTTCTATGTGACAAATTTTAAGAAGAAAATTCCTGAATTTTTGTATTAAAATGAATTTAAATAATTGGAAATGATACCTTTTTTTTTATCTGTGACTTGATGTATTATTAAATGATCTTATTAGTTTAAATAAATGTTGATATTATCAGTGTAACTAAAGCAATACAGTATTAGACATCTAACCTTGTTACCTGATAAAACAGATCCAGTCATGTCATCTCGCTTGATATAAATATCAATATCATCTGGTATATTTGGAAGACTCCATTTATGAATAGGTGTAAATGGCTGAAAAAGCTAAACAATATTTATTTACCTTTATTAATTGAGAAAATTAATAGAGTAACTGGCGATTAAGTGCTATCTATATTGTATGCATTTGAAAAGTCTGTAGATTTACGTACATAAACTGATATCCAATTTTAAATTTTGAGACATATTTTGAAAATATTATTTTGATCTTAACAATTGAATTTGTTCCACAGGAACTGAATGTGTTTGAACTGGTCATCTGGCAAACCTACTGTATTCCCATCTTTTTAATAAACATTTCCTTGTAATAGAGGTTGGCTGTAGAGCTAAAAGACATTTTGCAAAAAAGTTTCCCTTTAATAATAATAAGAGTGCCCTAAAGCAGGAGTTCAGCTTTTAAAAATTGACTGATTAATACATTAAAAAAATTATATTCTCATATATAAATAAAAGTATTTTGAAAATCAAATATATTTATATACAATTGGATTTTTTCCTACCTTAACTTTCACTAATGGAATCATTTTTGAAGGTGGCTTGCCCAATCAGGTGGCCTGTAACTGGGTAGTTTATTTGAATTACTCTTTGTGTGTCTGCATCTGTGATTCGTTGTTGATGTAGATGTCTTTTGAAATGATTGATCTTCACCTGGCAAATTAGAGCCTTTACTTTGAATGCAATCATCATGACATTAACATAATTGTTAATTACCTGTTTAAAAAAGGATTTATAAACATTTTATTAATTATTACCGAATACATTACCAAAAATCACCATAATTCTTATCACTCCAATGTACCTATTTAAGAATATAGATTTTTTTTAAATCATAAAATTTTCCATTTTTGTCCAATTACAAATATTTGAAATTCAAAAATTTTGGCTGGGCCCATGCAGACCCACTGTAGCCACAGTGCATGCCAGTTACCAACACATCTAATTCTCATGCGAGGATTATTCAAGGAGAAAAACAGTCTTACTTCTTTTAAAACCCGACTTAGGGTCTATAGCGCAAGAAGCAGGGACATACATCTCTTGGCCAAATGCTTAGCTATAAATATAACTCTAAATATTTTTATGTTACTACATTAGGCTAGGCCTAGACTCAGCGGCGACGCCGGAGATTTGCCAACAATGGGTCTAACAAAGGTCCGAGACAAGCAAGCGCCAATGAAGTCTCGGCCCAAAATAAAACCTCCCTTGGACCTTGTAGGGTGCACGGGGAGAGTTTTTATGGCTTTAGTTAGAATGGTCCAAAATGTGCATTTAGACCACAATGACATTGGCAGTCAAAATAATGGTAATGTTGGATAGGCAAAAAACTATGATTTTTTATTTTGGATCCGACAACTTAGGAGTGCGTCAAACGACAGGGGGTTTATCCGATAGGGAATTTCCCTGGCGAAACACCCTCCTCCCCCCTGCGATGGAGCCACCACTCTAACCCAGGCCTTAAATAACCTCAACTGTACTTAGTTCCTGGTCTAGCCTACTACTACTTATTTTAGGCTTCCAGCCCAGATAGCCAGCCCAGCCGACCTAAGCCTAGGCTAGCCCTACCTACTAGGCTTCTTAGGCCTAGTCCCTAGAGAGGCCTAGCCTAGGCCTCTAATAAGGAATGAACCGGGGCCCTAACTAAAATAGCAAGCCTAGCTGGGTAAGCCTAGGCTACTAGCCCAGGCCTCCTTCCTTCAAAATCCTAGCTAATATTATCATTAAACGTTTGACCTTAATGGCTATCTAAAGTATCATGCCTTCAAATGAATGACTCTTATTTACTGTACGCTGCTACGTACTACAATTTTGGGGGGGCCGGGAACAGAAACGGCCTCTAGCTCGAATCGTCGAAGCCGCCGCACAAGTCTATAAACAAGTAATATTTATGGAGCGCCAGACGTGCAGTTCCAATCAATTGTGTATGATGGACACTAGGTATCAGAGTGCGATAAAAACTGTTTTAATCAATTATCAAATCAATGTCTAATTGATGTTTAACTAACTTGTGTTGTGTTTGTTATGACCAATTATCAGTTGTTACATTAAATGCAATTTAAAGGATTAACAAAATACCTTAATAAGTTTTATCTCTTTGGTTTAGGCTTATTGTAATTAACAAAAAAAAAAAAAACAACTTAAATTTTAGGTTTCTTTCACCTGTTTTATATTAGTTTTATGATAAGTTACATACATTTCCGAGTGAAATTTTCAACTGCGTTATTAGAAACATGTTTTCGCACATAAAATATATTTAAATTTATCAATGCGACTTCTCGAAAAAAATGGTAACATCGTCACAAAAATAAAAACAATAAAAAATGTGTTGTGTCTCATTTTGTACTAATTTTATATTCATTTTAAAGTACTACAGTCAGGCTACATCCTTCCTTCTATTGAACAGCCAGTGACGTGTGTGGATGGGGTTTGTACCTTTGAACGTTTGGCGCATCTCCTCCGATCAACGTATTCGAACTGACCAACATCAGTAATTGCCCTCTCCCTCTCTCTCTCCCTCTCTCTCTCTCTCTTTCCTCTCTCTCTCTCTATCTCTACTTCTTTCTCTTTCGGTGGGAAAATTAGCTTTTCTTCGTGAATTTGAAAGCAGAGCCCAAACGTCTATGGATGTTGCCAATAAAAGAGCGTATGAACAGGCGCAGTGCGGTGTGAAAGTGTCCAAAAATATCAGGGGCGGATCCAGAAAATTTTTTGACGGTGGAGGGGGTGGGGAGGTAGGCCCTACGCCACACCTACCTCAATCCCACTATAGTTGAGGGTGAGATGAGCAAATTTCACGAATAGGCCCCTCTCTAGACGCTCGGAAATGGGCATTATCTGATGGGAAAAATGCCTTCAAAGCAGTGTTCCTCGACAAAATTACTGACCGTTCCTCCCAAAAGGAACTAGGCCACGCCACCATCCCTTAGACACTCCTCCCCTCACGAGCATCGCAAATGTCTAATCAAGGATTTATAGTCTATTCTATACTGGGAGTCGAAGCAAATTATGATTATGGCAGATGCCCGGAAATGGCACTCATTCAGACATTTGGATATTTTATATTCATTAAAAAAAATGTTTACAAAATGTATCGGGGTCAAACTAGGCGAGAATGAGTTCCACGGCCGTTTAATAACGTTTACATTGATGGGCGGCGATGTCACTGTCTGGACCCTTGGTTCATCACTTCTTCTTGTGTTTTAAATGAAAACTGTTGTTGCAGGTCATGGCTATGCCTGCCTATAGTGTGGTTATTTTATTTTATTGTCACTTGGAGCAAAACACCACTTCTCTCAGATATGAATAATAATGAAAATAGTAATGTCGTATTGTTGCTTCAGGGCAAAATAACTAATAGGGAATCTCTGAAAACAGGTAAACCGAACAGCTACATGTTATTGTGCAGCTTTATTTGCAAACACAAATAGTATCGTTTCCATGAATAAAGAATTAAATATAATCGAACGAACGGCGCTTCGTGAATTAGGGTCGATATAACTTGATTGTCAGAAGATGTACAATTTGTTCCTCAGACGCCCTTAACGTAAGGCCTCAAATTATTATCATTGTCATTGTTATTATTTATAAAAACATGACATCGCATCAATAAAAAAAATAGTAATAATTATATATGCCATTTCACTGCCTAGACCTGAACATATATTGGTGTGTGTGTGTATGTCTATGCATGCTATATTCACGATATATTAACATTTTATTAGCTTAAAAATTTGTTGTTTTTGTGATTAGTATTTAATTGTAATTAAAATATTATTATGATTTTTTTTTATCTCTTTGTATTTGTCTTTAAAGTTGTTATTTTGCCGTTGCGCCTGCAAAATTGTGTTTCAATGTTTGTTTTTGAAAATGAAACAAAAGAAAACAGGGAGAAAAAAAAGTATAGATCCGAGAGGGGCGGATTCCATTAAACCCCATCTCCGGACTTCTATATTGTTGAACATTACTAAGAAGAATCAATACAAAACTGAATAACAAATTACATTTAAATTTAAGAGTCTGAGAGTGTCATTTCTGGCCAAGAGATGGCATAGCCATATTTGGTATATACAGCTCCACGTGTGGCGGATTGAGTTGATCTAGACTCTATTAATTTATAAGAATTATTTTCCTGGACACCCTCCCATTTAAAACATAAATCCGTTATCCTGATAGGCCTTAACAGTCAATTGTATAGGCCTGATCAGAAGTGTGGGGGGGGGGGGCTCTGTATTTCGAAAACTAGGGAAACACGAAGAGGGCCTTTTTGGACCCATAACATCTATTGGCCTGCTTCGTGCATTATTAATATCATAAATGATGGCTGTATACGTACTCAACGTGCGTCTTCTTGTTTTGTGTTTTCGTGGGTCTTAAATTTGGAGTGCTTGCGTTTGATTTACATAGTGTTTCTACTTTTTTAGAAGCATTCCTCTCTACACTATTTATAAAATAATACTTATTCTCATTGTATAACTAAATAAATGTGTATGCTTTTAAAAAGTTTTAAATTAAATTTAATTGAAATTGAATAATGACGGTAAAGATAATTGACGATGACGACAATGATAACGATGGTGTTGATGGTGGCGATGATGACGACGCCCGGTCTTAATGATTCATGATTAGCAACAAAACACAAAACAACCGTACAATGGCAGTGTCGAATTTCTACTTAATTTTGTCTCCAGTAGTTTTTCGGCTGATTCTTACATCTAACGCAGGATTTTGAAAATATCTATCACGTTTGAATTAAATGCGTTGAATATCATTTTCTTAGCATTGTTTTAAATTATACAGAAAATCGGACACCTGGTTGGGCGTAATTAAATATTGTCCGGAATTAACATTATTTAATTGTTTGAGTGGATGTTTCACACACGGTGCCTCAATACACATTCTTAATAATGATTCGTATGTTTCCAATGGAAGTAAGTCTTTTATAATTCAATTTTTTTTTTTGGTAACCCTTGAAATTAATATCTGATTCATTTTTTTTCTGTTAATTTTTTACATTTTTGTATATAAAAACTATTTTGACTACTTAATTTTATTCCTAATAAAATGAAATAAATAAATAAGTAAATAAAAATTTAAAAAAACAAAAACAAAACACACACACACACACACAAAACAACCGGAAAAAGATCAGGCTACTTTTACCTATCCATTTTTAAGCTGATTCTTACATTATGATGCCCATAAAAAGACTGATTATTTTTAAATTAACCTTTACATTTTACGTGTTAGGCCTACTTTTTTTAACGTTGGTTTAATTAATTATTATTACTACATCGCGTACATAATCATCATCTTTTCAAAATATTTAAATTAACTTACGGTAATTTATTCACCTCGTAGTGTAGACTTAATATATGTAACTAGGGCAAATTTTAGGGGAGAGGGATAAGGCTTTAGTATCACAACATTTTGCATGCATGCTTTTAATTATGACTAAATAAAACCCCTCCTTGTATGTTGGCTTAGATAAAGACTTTGAAACACACTCGCCGGGGTGTCCTATTCGCTGAGGGAGGTTTTCATTAAAACCATTTGAAATTTTGTTAGCCCCTCCCCCTAACGAAAAATCCCGAATCACTTTAACATTTATTTATATCAATTTCACACGCTTAGACAGAAGCTCATAGGCCAAATGTATATTATTGGTAAGGTAGCCTATAAAGTATAGGCCTAATATTTATTCTATTCTCAACATTTAACACTTCGTGATTCATAGAAGAGCTAGTAGGCCTATATTAAAACAACCCATTAAAAGAACTTGAGTTTGTTTATAATAATAAACATATTGTTTATTTTAAACAATGTATTTTTAAGCATTACTTTTCAGATATTATCATGCATTAAATAATTGCATATGGTGTCGGGGTTGTAGTACCTATGCCATAGTAGTGGGCACACTTGGATTTTTGAGACAATCACCAACCCTGTGCCACGAGATGAAATGTTCGATGTAGTTAATATTACATTAACTTAATTAAAAAATAATGAATTGTTTAGGTTAGTATATAGGGCTATTGCTATATAGTTATTTATGCTATGCATTTGAAATACAATTGTACAGATAAAATACAGATAAAACAACAGACAACAGTTATATTGTGTTTAGATAATACATTATTATTTATATACAATTTAACTGTTTTATTACAGTAATTGACAAGAAGGTAACTTATATTTACAAAATTATTACTAACTTAAGATGAAGCTCTGTCCTAATCATACAATTAAATATTTTGTATTAAAAATATTATTATCTACGTTGAAACATTTTTAGCTATTCGTTTTCATTCTTTGTTTTATTATAGTGTAAAATAACACCAGCATACAATTCAATTGAAGTATTTACATTAACTGACTTTCTATATAAAACATTACAAATTCAAAGATCAATATAATAAAAATATAAAAAAGGTTAGCAACATAGTATAAAGTTTATTAAAATTAAAAATGCATTAAACATTAAGAGGATTCACATTAAAGGCATTATAATTGAAGACAAGCACAAACTGTAACGAAAATATTATAACAAATAAAAATAAGTAAATAATACTGAATATTATTTAAAATAATGTATATAGGCCTACAATTTTACAAGGGTATAAACATTGTGGATACTTATTAGGAGTTTTTAAGTTAACAAAAAACAGGCAAAGAAATGAATGCCACTGACTCGACAATTTGGGACATGAAGATTCCCTTTTACTTATTGGATGTAATATAATATTTAGGCATAATTTACTGTTTGGAATAATAATATTACGTTTG